CACTTGAGCCACAGCGCCACTTCCGGCTTTTTTTCTTTTTGCTTATGTGGTGCTGAGGAATCGAACCCAGGGCCTCGAGCATGCAAGGCAAGCACTCTACCACTGAGCCACCTTCCCAACCCTCCTACTTAACTTTCTACCCTCACTTTTTGGGGATTTGGTCATGGGGCTTGAATTCTGGACCTGGGTGCTGTCCGGCTCTTCAGCTCAAGGCTAGCGCTCTACCACTTGAGCCACAACGCCACTCAAAACTTAGCTTTTAACAGCCAATCCCTCTCATGTCCAAATGTACCTTCAGAATCACTGCGATGGCACTGCAGTAGAGTGATTTCAGTTACCAGTAAAGGCTGGTTATGCTTTCAACTATTCAGTTTACATGAATAAAAAGGGAAATAAGTGATTTTAAGTCTTGAGTGTCCTTGCTTATTTAAAAAAAAACAAATCCCTTTGAGGCAAGGATCAGTGGTTCGTGTCTGTAATCCTTGCTACCCTGGAGACAGATCCAAGGATCATGGTTCAAAGCCAGCCTGGGCAGGAAAGTCCATGAGACTTTTCCATTTAGCCACAAACAGCCAGAAGTGTGGATATGGGAGGGAAAAACTGGGAGAGAGTGAGGTAGTGACACTGCCCAAAAAGAAATGTGTTCTTTATCTGACTTACATATCTGCAACCCCTCTGTACATCACCTTTAAAATAAAATTTTTTTAAAAAACAAATTTTTTAAGCCAGAAGTAGAACTAAAGCTTAACAGGTAGAGTGCTAACCTTAAGCACAAAAGCTCAGGGACAGTGCCCAGGCTGAGAGGTTAAGCCCCGGGAATGGAATTTAAGGGAAAAAAATTGCTTTGGGCCAGGTACTGCAATTCATGCCTGCAATCTTAGCTACTCAGGAAGCTGAGAGTGAGGATTATGGTTCAAAGCCAGCCCTGCAGAACTGTCTATTAGACTCTTTTTTGCCTTGAGCAGGGAAAGATCCCAAGCCCTAGGACTAGCGAAAAAGGAAAAAAAATCCCTTTGATTATATAAAGATAAATTCTTATCACATAAATTTAGTGGTAGTCTAGACTTTCCAAGTTTCATAGCTTGGAAAGTGTTATCTTTCCAAGAACTTATCTTTCTTACTGGTTTTAGAGGTAAAGATGAGCCTATAGATGAATTTGAATTGATGTGCCAGGTACACTCCCTGTTAGCAAACCCCTCTCCACCCTTTTTCTTTTTTGACTGGTTTTAAGGTTTGAACCCAAGGCCTCATGCTCTGGTTCAGCTTTCATGAACTTAGCTGGCGCCCTACACTTGAGACACACCTGTAGTCTGGCTTTTTTTCCTAGCTAATTGGAGATGGAGTCTCAATGTCTTTTCTGCCTGGTCTGGCTTCAGACAGATCCTCCAGGTCTCAGCTTCTTGAGAAGCTAGAATTACAGGTCAAATCTCCTATGAAATCTACTGCATATTATATGGCCTAATGTTTTAGAAGATCTGAGGATCACAGTTAGAAATCAGCCTGGACAGGAAAAAAATCCCTGTGAGCCAGGCGCCGGTGGCTCACGCCTATAATCCTAGCTACTCAGGAGGCTGAGATCTGAGGATCATGGTTCAAAGCCAGCCCAGGCAGGAAAGACCATGAGATTTTTATCTCCAATAAACCACTAGAAAACTGGAACTAGTGCTGTGGCTCAAGCAGTAGAGCACTCACCTTGAACTGAAGAGCTGAGGGACAGTGCCCAGGCCCAGAGTTCAAGCCCCACGACCGACAAAAAAAAAAAAATCCCTGTGAGATTTTTATCTCCAATTAACTACTCAAAAACTGGAAGTGACACTGTGTTTAAGTGGTAGAACACTAGCGACAGTGCCTAGTCCCTGTGTTCAAGCCCACAACCAACCAAGAAAAAAATCAGGAATAAGTTTGGATGAGTTCCCAATAAGTATTTTTGATTGCTTGTTTAGGTCATTATATATCCTAGAGTTTTTTCTAAATGCATGTACTGACTTAAGATATATATTTACCCAGTTTTTCAGTAACTTCAAAAATTTTTGTCATTGACAGTAAAGAGCTGAACAAGTAATTTTTCTTATTTTAGGTGCCAGTTCTCAGCTTTTAATTGGGATAGTGTTGCTGAGCTTTTTTGCTCAGGCTAGCATTCTACTCCTTGAGCCATAGGTCCACTCCCAGCTTTCTTTTCTTTTTTCTCTTTCTGCCTGCCTGCCTTTTTTGTGTAGTTAATTGGAGATGAGTCTCATGGACTTTTCTGCTCAGGCTGTTTCAAACCACAATCCTCAGATCTCAGCCTCCTGAGTAGCAGGAATTACAAGAGTGAGCTACCTGTGCCTGGTGTGATTTTTTTTTTCTTTCTGTAATGCAGTCTTGCTTCTATTTTGATTTTTTTACTTGATATTTAAGTGATCATTTCTCTTTCAGTCTGAAGTTGACAAGTAGCAGCATAGATCCTGGACTAAGTATCAAGCAAATGGGTGGTTTGTATATTAATTTCAATGCAGACAAACAACAGTCCAAGAAAACTCTAACACAGATCAAAGAGAAAAAGAAAAATGAGGTAAGTTATATGAAGTGTCTTTTCTTTAGAAATGTTTAGTCCTTTGATAAAAGATTCATTTTCCTATAGTAAACCACATTAGCCTAATGTTCTTGTTTTTATTTGTCCATCTCACTTGAACAGTCGCTTTTTTAAAGAATGAATTTATCTATGAGAAATTATATCTGAAAAATTAACTCAAGATCACGATTTCTAGCCGGGTGCTGGTGGCTCATGCCTGTAATCCTAGCTACACAGGAAGCTGAGATCTGAGGATCATGGTTCAAAGCCAGCTTGGGCAGGAAAGTCCGTGAGACTCTTATCTCCAATAAACCACTAGAAAACCGGAAGTGGGTGCTATGGCTCAAGTGGTAGAGTTCTCACCTTGAGCAGAAGAGCGCAGGAACAGTGCTTAAGCCCAGAGTTCAAGCCCCACCCCCCAAAAAAAAAGATCAGCATTTCTTTTCTTGTACCCCCTAGTGATGATCCAAAGTACTCTTTTTTCTTGCTATATTTTCAGAACTTGTTCTGTACTCTTGAAATCTGAAAGCTTTAAGTGCCTGCCTCTTCTACCTAGAAAAAAAATATGTATGTGCAAATAGCAATAAAATTTTACATATAGGCTAGGTGTGGTGGCTCATAAATGTAGTTAGTCTCAGCTGTTCAAGAAGGTAGCAATTCAAGCCCAGATTATACAAAAAGTTAGACTGCATGTAATCAGTAAGCTGAATATGATGGTGCATGCCTATCATTTCTACTGTTTGAGAAGCATAAATAGGATCATGGTCCAGGTAGGCTTTATGGGATAAAAACGTAAATATGTGGGTATTACTAGCAAAAAGGGGCAGGGTTGTGGCTCAAGTGGTAGACTACCTGCCTAGCAAAAGGGAAGAAGAGGCCCTAAGTTCAAACACCAGTAGTGAAAAAAGAATGGATGGACAGATAGATAGATACATAGATAGATAGTTAATTGTTAGAGTAATCTTAATTTTTAGTTATGGCCAGTATCTTCTCCTTTCTCCCAGATAAACATTTTTATTTTTTTTATTGTTATTGTAAAGGTCACGTACAGAAGGGTTAGTTACTAAGTCTTTTTGGACATTGTCATCTCTTCCCTCAACTTTGTCAGATCTGTATTTTCTAGTCTTGATGACTTCAGACCTTAGGATCCAGGTAACCATTTGTGCATTTAGAAGTGCATTTCTTCCCTGCCTAAACTAGCCATTTCTGTATTCTCTGCCAGTTACTGACACCAAAGTCTTTCCCTTGTGCAGTCAGTCACCCAGCTTTGGAAATGATGCCTTCTCCTTTTTTTGAGCCACTACACCTTTAATTCTCATCAAGTCTATTCCAGTAATCTCTTTATGGGTCTTGCTTTTGTTTTCACTTTTTTTCTCCTCCATGTTTCTCAGTTTCTCTCTAAAAACACAAATTTGACATCATATTCTGCCTAAGTCCTTCCTGGAACCACTGTACTGATAGTTTTGTAAGATATGATTCTTGCCAAAAAAAAAAAAAATGCAACCATCAAGAAACTGATCAACCAATCTGATCATACAAAATGTAAAAACATAAATGGGAAATTATATAAAACCCAATTTTATATCTTTATAGCTTCTGCAGAAAGCTATTATTACACCTGATTTTGAACAAAAACATTGTGTTGCACCATATAGAGAATCAAAGCATCAACTTCAAAAAAAACGGAAGGTAAGTACAATGACTTCTACTATCTAAATTTATATGAGCTTGGCTATCTATTTTCAGATTGTACACCAACTACACCTGTGTACTGATTTATCTATAAATACTATTACAGATTGCTCCAGGCTATAGTCCCATCAACACATGTAGGCTGGATTTTCACGTTTTTTGTGACACTGAGCTACATCCCTAACTCTACAAAACGTAGCCTTTTAATAATATACCTTGAAAGCAGTGATAGCCCCTGTATAGGCTTCACTGTCCACAGTGCCAGTAGGTACTAATAGTACTAGTAGACTGACAATTGTGAGAAGTGCCAAGTTATCGAGGGCACTTGGAGGCATTTGAAGATGGTACCCTAGTACCTAGTACCATTGATGTGTATAGCCAGCCATTCAGTAATTTATGAATGAAACAAGATAAATTATTGGCTGTGAGTTTTCAAACGAGTTAAGTTTTTGTTTGAGAAATACTAACCTCTAGGTTGAAGAGACATCTAAGTAACTGAATAAAAATGTTAATACTTTTACATATAAGCTCCTGGAATAAAAATATTTTTGTAAATTATCTGTACTGTGGGCCATTATTAACAATAAAAATTCAGCCTTGTTATTTTCTCAGCAAGTTTTCAGTTCCAGTGCAATACAAAATAGGTTTTAAGGATTCATTTATGAAAACTGATAATGGTATATCCTTGTTATTATCAATGCTATTATCAAAGAAATTTTTGTTTAATTGCTTTGATAAATATGATTTTAGAGATGTAACTCTAAAGTAACTTTTTAATTCATGAAGCATTCTGTGTAATTTTTGAGGAAATGAATTACATGTACTTTTTAGATTATTGAAATTAGAATGTTTTTGAAATCTGAATTTCAGAAAGAGCGACAAAAAACAGCAGGTGATGGCTGGTTTGGTATGAAGGCTCCAGAACTAACAGAGGAACTGAAAAATGACCTCAAAGCACTGAAGATGAGAGCAAGCATGGACCCAAAAAGATTTTATAAGAAAAATGATAGAGATGGCTTCCCTAAGTACTTCCAGGTATGAAGCAAGCGTAAGAGTGGCTGTGTTCTTTGGGTTTTCCTTTGGAAAGCAGCATAGTGATCTGTTTAATGTTAAAACAGATCAGTTTAGGAAGTAGTGCTGTGGCTCAAGCGGTAGAGCGCTCACCTTGAGCTGAAGAGCTGAGGGATAACGCCCTACCCCAGAGTTCAAGCCCCACGACCAACCAAAAAAAAACAAAAACAGATCAGTTTATATATGTATACCGGACCTAAATGACCAAAACACAATTCAGAGAGATCCATCTTGTAGTGGGTTGTCAATACAGAGTGACAGGGTTAAGCCAGGCACCGATGGCTCATGACTGTGATCCTAGCTACTCAGAAGGCTGACATATGATAAATACAGCTCAAAGCCAGCTCAGGCATGAAAGTTTGTGAGACTCTTTTATCTCCAATTAACCATCAAAAATTCAAGCTGGGCGCTGGTGAATCATGCCTGTAATCTGAGGATTGTGCCCAGCCTTAGCAGGAAAGTCTATGAGCCTCTTCTCTCCAGGTAATCACAGCAAAAGCCAGAAGAGGCACTGGCTCAAGTGGTAGAGTGCTAGTCTTAAGTTCAGGAGCCCAGGGACAGTGCCTAGGCCCTGGGTTCAAGCCTTACTACCAGCTCACACACATTAAAAAAAATGACAAAACTAACAAATTCTGGCAAATGTAGTTAGCTTGTGTGTTCTGTTCCTATCTGTATTATTGCTTTCTACATTATGAGAATTAAACTGAAATATGGAGGCAACTTGTCATTCAGATAATGCATGACTTACTTCAGTCGACTGTTCACAGATTGGAACCATTGTTGACAATCCAGCTGATTTCTACCACTCAAGAATTCCCAAGAAGCAAAGGAAAAGAACTATTGTGGAAGAACTGCTGGCTGATTCTGAGTTCAGAAGGTAATGGAATTTATATTTCATTTTACAGTGGGTACTTTTTCTTTGAAATATGCGTAAATACAAATTTTCAGGATAAAAATAGTAAATTACTCATTATACATTGATATGAATATATAGTTTAATAAAAACAAAAGTAATATACTACAAATCTCTCTAGTGTCTGCCACAGTTAGGGCAAGTAGAGCCTCACACCTGTTTCTGCTGGCAGCCTGGGGGAAACACCACTGCACATGCAAGAGAGAATCAAGGGTGACAGGGGCAGCCGTGCTTAGGGTTCTTAAGAAAATTGTCTTGAAAGGCTCTTGTCTACTATCACACATTACAAACTATTGGTCTACAATGTTTTGTAAGGTTCTAAGAAACACATATCATCACTGTGTTTTTGTAAACTGTTTTGCTATGTCCTTCTTACATTTTGCACTCCAACATTTAGATCCCTATGTAACATCACCTGGTGAGTCTTTAAATCACTAGGAAGACAAGGAAGAACTGCCTTGTCCACTGTTCTATCCTTAGCTCCTGCCACAGGTCCTCCCAACACATGATGGCAACGTAGGGAAAACATTTAGAACCCCTAAGGGTTCACCCTAAGGGCATGTGAACTTCTATGTCTATTGTACTGTGCTGTAAAACACCAACATACAATCTTTCTTTTCAGATACAACCGAAGGAAGTACTCTGAGATCATGGCTGAAAAAGCAGCAAGTGCAGCAGGCAAAAGATTCCGAAAGAAGAAGAAATTTCGCAATTAAGATTCATCAAGCAAAATACAATATTGGACATTTCTCTTTATTTGCTAAATATATTTTTAAAACTAACACATCACGTAATTTAATACAGATGCTGTTTGTATAAGGATTTATTTGGAAATAAGCCCTGTATTATAGTCTTGGACAAAAAAATATTTTGGGGATTAGACACAGGGTCTTGCTTACGCAAGGCAAATACAAAGCAATCACTCATTTGCTTATTTTTATTGGCTTATATTAATTGTACAGAGGGGATTTCATTACTATGTCTCCACACAGTTACACTGTATGACCATCAGTCTTTCCCCCTCTATCATTCCCTGCCCCCCTTAAGAAACAGTATCTCCCAACAAGTTTCCTTTTTTCATACAAAGCACTTTTAAAACAATCAACATGACTACATTCAGAGCTGAGAGGGAATAGACAATATGAAGACAGAGGTACCAATCTTTTTATCCCATTTTAGTCACTTCGGTGTTTTCAGATCCAGTGAGTTGTTTTAGCCAAGTAACCTGAAAACTCTCTAACATGAGGGTTATACCAGTTAGCAAGATAATGGAAGGCTATGCGTTGCTTACCTCTGTGGCCTCCAAAATTGGCAATTGTGTGATTTTTTTTCTCTGATGTAGGAATTGATTCTAGAGCATTTATGCAATGGGCTTTTAGTAACTATTCCTCCTTTTCTTTGTTACTGTGTAACCATCTTGAACTGTACTAGTCATAAAGAGTTCCTAGTCTGAACATTCTGGCCTTCTGGCTTAATCTGGTCTTTTTAACAAAGTTCTTGTAAGCCTACTTTTAATGAGTAACAAAGAAGGCCCAGGGTTTATTTCCCTTGCTGTGGTCCCTACCTGTTTCAAACCACTGAAAGGATGAGCCAGAATTAATTCCTCCTTTTAGGGTTTTTATCTCATATTTTGTCACAGTCACAGAAATATTCCTTAAACCATCATCCTAGTTGGATGTGAAATGTTATCACATGGCTGTGAACTGGAAGACTAAACAGGTAATTCAATAAGATTGAGTATAACTTAATTTTAAATATCAAATATACAAGTAACCTGTTAAGAGAATTGAAGAAAAGATCCCAACAAAAGATGGTTTCACTAAGCAAAGGTAACAAAAAAACACTAAGACAGATATGAAGAAAAAGTAATGTGAATGCTGCTGCTTTTTAGAACATTTTTTTAGTACAGTTCTCCCCTATATTAGTCTACAAATAACATGATTCTAGTGGACATTTGCTAAGTGTTGAATCAGACTAGCTATGAGTAATATGTGGAAATTGTGGATTTACTCAGACATCCACCTTTCTAGCTTCCTATCCAGCTTAATGCTTACTAGTTATATATCCTTGGTGTGTTTGATATTTGAGATGTTCTTGCGGGACAAAAACTGGTCCTCCCAGCTCATGAGTGAGTGGGTGCATATGGTCACACCATCTCACATAGCTGTGCCTCCTGGGACTGCTGTTAAGTATTCCAATTATTAGTAAAAGTGAACAACAGGCAAGGAAAACGTTCTTTTAGAAAAGGTAATGAGGGGGCTGGGAAGGTGGCTCAGTGGTAGAGCACTTGCCTTGCATGCATGAGGCCCTGGGTTCGATTCCTCAGCACCACATAAGCAAAAAGAAAAAAGCCGGAAGTGGCGCTGTGGCTCAAGTGGTAGAGCGCTAGCCTTGAGCTGAAGAGCTGAGGGACAGTGCCCAGGCCCAGAGTTCAGGCCCCACGACTGGACCCAAAAAAAACAAAACAGAAAAGGTAATGAGGGGCTGAGAATGTGGCTTAGTGGTAGAGTGCTTGCCTAGCATGCATGAAGCCCTAGGTCCAATTCCTTAGTAGCACATAAAATGCTGGAAGTGGTGCTGTGGCTCAAGTGGGAGAGTGCTAGCCTTGAGCAAAAGGAATTCAGGGACAATGCCCAGGGCCCTGAGTTTTAAAACAGCAAATTCAAGAGTTCAGACATTAACAGAATATAGAACCTGATGCATGTAGGAATTAATTATAATGTTGGCAATTTAATTAGTATAGAAAAGGTTTCTCCTTCCAGCCCATTGATTGCTGGGACAAAACTTGCCTGAAATAAAAATATATTTAATAAGTACAGTATGATTGTCAGACCTAGAAGCAAGGAAAGACTGGCAAGTCTAAATTTATGAGTGTATTGAAAAATAACCATAAGCAAAATCAGAAAACAGATTAAAAGAATTTTAATGCCACAAAGAGCTGTTTTCCTTAACGTGTTAAAAGGACACTGCAAACCAGTAAGAAAATGTCATCTTAGTAGGTGTGAATGACAATAGAGAAATGAGCACAACTAAAGAACAGATAAGTCAGAAAAAAAGTCCAAATTGCCCTATGTATGAAAGAAGCTTAGTTTCCCTCACAAATGCCATGAATCAAAAACGGCAACTAGAAACCATGCCTCGTGGGGCAGCAGTCTCCCCTCCCTCTGAGGACAGTTGAAGGGTGCTGAAACACAGCTGCCAGCCAGCCATAGCAGTGTCCCAAAAACTACTCACTGTGTACAACTATGTAAAAACTAGGTTGTTTACTTGGAAATAGGAAATATTTCTATAGGAAAAGAATAGACATTATAGATGTCCGTTTAGATGTCAATCTAACATACTGAAATAAGCATAGCATACTGCTGTCTTAAAAGGGTACATATTACATTATTAAAAGCACCACGTACACAATAACACAACAGAAAAAAATTACTGATAACATGCCTTAAAAAATAGCCAGGTGCTCAGGTTAAGGCCTGTAATCCTAGGTTTTCAGGAAGCTATATAATGTGGGTAGGGACCGGACAGGACGGATAAACAGTAAGGGGAGCCGTGACATTGTCTGATCAAAATGTGCTCTTTACCTGACATAAAACAGTAACCGCTCTCTGTACATAACCTTTATACTAACAATTTTTTAAAATAAAAAATTTAAGAAGTCAAAGTATACCGGCTTGCGGAGGGAATATGGCAAAAAAAAAAAAAAGACTGGAATATGGCAAAACAAAATGGAGGCACTTACTTCTCCCTGCACCTTTCCTGACAGTTTTGGATTTTGTGTCTTGCATAAATCACCTTTTTCATTGTTAGAATGATTTTTTTTTTTTTTTTTGCTAGTCCTGGGACTTGAACTCTGGGCCTGGGCGCTGTCCCTCAGCTCTTCAGCTCAAGGCTAGCACTCTACCACTTGAGCCACAGTGCCACTTGCGGCTTTTTCTGTGTATGTGGTACTGAGGAATGGAACCCAGGCCTTCCTGCATGCTAGGCCAGCACTCTAAGCCACCGTCCCGGCCCTGTTACAGTGATTTTTCAATATGATTTAATTTTTTGAATTAAGGTTATACCGAAGGGATGGCCATTTCCTAAGTCAGGCACCGTATGGTTCTTTTTGGACGGTGTCACCCCTGTAATTCCGTTCTTTCCTTGTGTTATTCGCATCTAATGCACCCCTAAACCTGAGCTGAGGACCAAACAGGGATTCATGCCTCGATCTGACCGCAGGCAGACGGACCCCGGGGGCCTGGGTGCGCTGGGCCGGTGGAAGACGGGGAACGGGGGCCGGCCTGACCAAAACGGCGGGCACTGGGGTCCGGAGCGGCCGCCGGGAACCGACCTTTCCGGCCGGGCCTCTGGGCGGCTGCACCCACTGTCGGGCTCCAAACCAGAGATGCGGGGCTCCCCCGCGCTTCCATCCAGGCCCACACCGGAGGCCCGCGTCGCTGACACCTCCTTTACCTCCGCGCCTCCACCGCCGCTTCCGAGGACCTGGATCGGCACCGACCGGACCGGGCCGGGACTGCAGAGGGAGCACAACGAATGCAAGGGAGGTGAGAGCTGGAGACCGAGGCGAGAAAAACAAAGGCCGGAGAGACAGGAGGCCATCGGGGTGGAAAAGACATTTAACACGGGTTGCAAAAACGTCACGACTCCGCCGGGACTCGAACCCGGAACCTTTGAATGCCTTCAGCCTCTAGAAGTCCAATGCGCTATCCATTGCGCCACGGAGCCACCTGTTGGAGTTTCCGCGCAGCTGCCGTGTTAAGCCAGAGGCTACGGCCCCGCGCCCTGCCCACCGCCCCCACAGCCGTCTCCCGCCTCCGGGGCCCGGCTGCCGCGCCCCGGACTCTGCCAGCTGAGGCTAATGCGGACCACCGGCCGCGGGCGCCGGGCTCCCCGGCTTCCGCCTCTCCCGAAGTCCCGGAACCCCGCGAGCGGAGGGCAGCGGGCCGCGGAGCCGAGCTGGGTGGTGCTGGAGCAGCTGCCGCCGGCCTCGGTCCCCGCCCCGGACCCCGCACACAGATCACGGTGACGCCCGTCCCGGCGACCCCTCCCCGCCCGGACCCCCGCCTACCGGGCCTCT